CACAATGCTAAGTAATAATTAACTAAAACTCTTTTTAGCTGATTTTACTCAGTAATTTAAAGGAGTCTTTAATATCTCACTTTTTTAATGACTGTTTTAAATAAAAAGTAAAGAGATACTTTGCTCTTAACAAGCTAAAACACTCGTAGCTAGGCAAAGTATTTTATAATTTATTTTATCTTATAAACTAAGCAAACTCCTAAAAGCATGCTCTTGTTAAAATTACAGATTTTAAGAGCATGTCTCAAATCACCACATTACAAAACTGAAACCAAACTAAAAAAACTCCCAAAAATGAAACAAGCTTGCTTATTAACGTCGTGAAAGTAATATGCACATACCAGCTACAATCTTTGCTGTGAAATACTGGAGGGTTCGTATTTCAGACCATTTCTAGTGAGGTCATCCTAATCCCCTCCATTAGCAGCAATATCCAAAATTTCACATGGGTTGGGAGACAGAATTGCAAGCTTTTTTCATCCCATTTTACAGATAGGGCAAAGGGAGGGCAATGAGTTGCCCCGGGCCACAATGCCCACCAGTGACAAAGCCCACACCAGAAGGCAGATCTCCCAAGACTCTGTTTTTAGCCACTGGAATTGCATATTTTAGCCACTTCTGCCAAGCTGCGCTGGGCTGGAGGGCAGTGACAGCCGCCTCGCAGGCTGACTGCAGGTTTACAAGAGGAATTGCCATTCTTCAGACAATGATTAATTGCTTCCCTTCCAGGCATTACTATTATTAGCACTATTAATTATTTGTATTCAATGTATCAGTGATAAAACGGGCTAGCACGCCGTATTTGAAGTACATCAGGACTCGCAACAGACGGCAAACCAGAGGCACATGGGGACTTCCCCCCTCCCCAACACGCTCCTAAGCGCTCCGATTCGCATTTCTAAGTCCCATTTTAAGCAGTGAATAAACCCAAGGTCCTTTTTTAAAGTCAGTTTTATTTGCACACAGAGTTGGGAGTTGTAAAACACATACTGTGTCAAGGTCTGCTTTGAGTTTTTACTGTTTAAAAGCCTCAAAGCAGGAGAAGCTGGGAGATGGCGTAAAACGTAAAGCGGGTGATCTGGGCAAGGTAGTCTGTTTTTAAACCACTTTTACTTGGGTTTTTGTTTTCTGATCTCGGAATTAACTTAAGAAAAGTCAGGAAAGGGGAAGAGGACAATGGACCATAAACCTGGGCAACTATGGTAGGTAGATAGGTGAACTTCTTCCAAGTTAGTAGCAACAAGCCACCCACATGATTTTTAGAGTAATTTGAATTTTTTAGGCCTTTCATTATGTTATTTACATCTGCTCCCCTGACCAAGCCAATTTTCAGGTCTTCTCAGTGATGATAGTTGCTCATGATGTTTTCCTCACATGTGTTATACAGCTGCATTGCCCTGGGCTCCGAGCAGGAGCTGAGCTGCACCACGATCTTTGTGAGGTGTTTTTTTAATATACGTACTGAGTGGACTCATGAGACCCTCCCAAACTGCTGAGTGACACTTATTACAACAAAGCTGGGATGGAGGTGCAAAAATTAAGAAAATAGCATCCAATGGTGAAAGAAAAATACATATAATGAGTTTGAAAGGAAAAAGAGGAAGAGGTAGAGGCAGGCAGGGAAAGAAACAGTGTTTTTCTTCCAAGATAAAATAAAGTTGCCCACTAACTTGGGATGGTAGTTATCCCCAAGCTCCAGCAAGACAACTTTTGTGGATGAATTAGTCAAAACGCATTATCGTCTCTGCTGTCCTACATTTCTATCAACATGACTCACCGCACACGCGTTATGGAGGGTAACGTAATGAGAGCTGAATTGCACTCTGTTTGCTGTTCCTCCCAATGGATAAATAAACTGTGTGTAATCAAGGTAAGTATGATGTTGGTCCTTCGGTGCTCTGTTTAATTTTTCTTGATGATTTTTCTCCCTAGGCAGGTAATAACTCCCTCGGAAGGTGCACAAGGGACATGAACGTTTCTAGCACATCTCTAAGTTAGCAGACCTTCACCAGGCTTTTAAAAAACTGCCACCTTGGTCAAACATTGAGGATTATGAGAATGCCCAGGGGGAGGAAAAGGGAGAAGGGACTTCAGAGGCTGCATGGGAACCCCTGAAAGAAAACAGGTTATTTCATTCTTCTGAGGGATGCAACTGTGAGACAGGGCTTATCAACAGAATTCCCAGTTCTCATGTGAAATATCTTGATAAGTCTTGAAGTACAATCTTGCCGTAAGCAGCTTTTCCTCTGGCAGCAAAAGTGAGACTCAATGATTGAGCAGTTAGCTAATCCCTTCCTTCTGCCAAGCTCCACCTGTTAAGCGTAACAGGGCAGGCTGAACACACGTCTCATCGCCGACTTTGCAAAAGATCCCTTCTGAACTATTAAACTTGTAATACTTTAAAAGGGGATAATTTATCTGCTGTTTGTTTGGGAGTTTTTTTGTTTACTTTTGTTTTAAAGAGGACCAAGAGCATTATATGGTTGAAAAAAAGGACAAGGAATATATCTTGAGATAAATGTCTATATAGGCTGGGGGGTTTTAGCCAATATTAGGCTGTCACTTAAAAGCCTCATCCCCACCCACTCCAGTTACTCACACTGTTATGTCACATTTATGGTTGTGGGGTATTATAATGAAGAAAATCTGGAATAAAATACACTGGGAGGAGATCCAACAGAAAACCCCACAGTTCCTTACGAGATCAAACAAACGTCATGCTGCCAGACGGGCAGAGTCAGTAGGATTGGAGGGAGTAACACCATGATAGCACTGAGATATGGACCAGTTCGGTGACAATCCTAAAACCCTATCCATCTGCACACCAAACCATGCTTTCCAGAGATAAGCCCTGAATGACTATTTCATATGTACCCATCTGAGCCAGGTCGAGAAGGCGTGCTGTCGGAGGAGATGGAAGACACCGACGCAACGGAGAGGGGTCTTGAAGACGACGGCATCGTGAAGGATCTCACCATAGACCGTGGCCGACTGCCTCGTCTATCATCCAGAGTTGAAAGCTGCAATAAAGAAACACAAGATCTTACTTCTTAAATCACAATGTAGCTGACATCTGCCTAAAAAAAAAAAATTTAGAATGGTTTGACAACTTTGCTTCTATGTGGATTTTTATATTACTTAATTGTACATGATGTTTAACAACAAACAATTCTAAAGAAAATCCATTTAAAGGACTAAGGAAATATGGATAATTTACAACATATCCCAATAGTCCATTTGCTTCAATAGAATTTACAGGCTTTTTTTACATCTGGGCTTTAAAAGGAGCTTTTTAAAAGTAACATTTTTTCAACCCATTTCTGCAACTGAAGTGACTGCCCTGTCAGTACATTTAAATTAACTGGAGTTTTTAAAAAAACAAAATAAAAATAATAAAAAAAACCCACTAAGGGGAACTTTATGGCAAGAGAGCCAATTTGCAGAGTGATATTTAGGTTAAGAAGAAAATATATGAAACATTTTTTTTTGTTTCAGAGTTGTGAATATTTATACAAGCTTTGTTAGTCATTAATAACTGATATATGCATAAAATAAATGAACTCTTTCACTCAACAAATACGAATCTCCTGCTGTTTAATTACAGGTATATTTTCCACCCTGTCAGTTACTGGTAAATTGGCCTTGTACACGACAGAGAGAAGCGATAAAACTCCATCAATCCTGACAATTCTTACTGGTGGGTAGAGTGAAAGTAGAAAGATAACACCACCTGCATATGACTTTCCAGTCATGTCCTTGATGATGTAAATGTATATTACTGAAGTGACTGACACGCAAGTATCATTAATGTCCATTATTCCTATTCTCCTTGGAAATAAATTACTATTTGAACTTTTCTCTTCCTAAATATATTAGCAAGATGGGATCTGAAGGACTCCAAATGGAACGCCACTTAGAAGGGTACCATAAAGGCCGGCACGTTCCACATAAGATCTGAGTGTTCTCATTAAAAAGAATGTCATCGCTATAGACAGAAGTGAAAATGAATCTCTGAAGGAAGGCTTGCCATAAAATACAACAGGATATTTCACTGCATGCACTATTCCACCTAGGCTTTGGGCACTCAGAGAAAAAAGTCCCTTGGCACTTCCCAGGATGCCAGGGAAAGCCAGGGCTGGAAATGAGACGGCAGTCCAAATACAGGCTAGCAAGCCAGCTTTCCTGACCTCTGACCCAGTCCTTAATGTTCTGGTGGTGATTTCCTTTGTCTTTAGATGGCTTTGGCTGACCGAAGGCGGATCTTAAATAAACCACGATTATAAAAAATAAATCACTGCTTTTCGAGTCCTCTCTGTGGGAAATGGGTTCTGGTATGGGATGTTGTTTAGTCCAATTTGGGGAAAATGTGTATTGTCCTAAATTACATCACACCCTTTGCTCTTTTGGAGATAAACTGTATGTTGTTACAGCGCACATGTAAAGTTTTCTCTAAAAATTGGATACGTACTACAGCTTGAAATCTAATACATGTGGTGAACCAAAACGAACAAGGCAACTCAACAGCGAGGAGGTCTGATGATTCCAAGTTCAGCTAAACACCTCTGCAGCAAAGCAGGGGGACCCTGGAATTTCCCACGCACCACGGACAGGCTCGCCATCAGAGGGCTGGCGGGAGGGAGCTGACGGTGCCCCAGGCCATCGTGGCAGCGTACGCGCCTACTTCTGCGTTAGAAGACACAGGGGTCATTTTCTGGTGTTTTGTTTTCTGGAGCAGTGCAAAGATATGTAAGCACATATGCAAGATTCACGCACTGCTGTCGTCACAAAAATAAACCTAAAAATTACAGCATGTTTGCAACACCGCTGCCAGGACTATCAGTAGACAGAGATAAAGCTCACCCTGGTAGCCTTCAATATATTACTGGGACATCAGCTCCACATAGCCAGCCTTAGAGCAACCCTAACCACTTGCATCTCAGGTTTTTAAATCAGTATCAAACCCGATCCACATAACACCAACCGATCTGCCTGGCTTTAGACTGAATTTTCAGTTACATGCTGATTTACGAAGCTGTGTGCTGGCTTTTGGCCTTCCTTGCTGGTGGGTAACGCTCAAGCCACAAGCAGAACGAAGCCATTGGAAACGGCACCAAATCCTTTGCCGTGCCTTAAAGATGAAAACATTCAGCTCCAGAAAAATCATCCTATAGTGGCAATTTTTCACTTTTACAACCCAATTCCTTTAAAAATGGAATACTGAAGAATTATCTTGACTTTCAAGGAACAGATTCAGGCAATTTAGAATATTGTTCCCGTGCTAGAAAATGAAAGTAGCAAAGCTTTCTGAACATCTTACATAGCATCTGCTCAGCAATTAATAATTTGATCACCACTGAGAACAACCAGGCAATGCTGCATCGACACTGCTTTTTTCATCAGTAAGAGTAATAGTAGAGAAATAAAATGTTTCCTGTAATTTAGAGAAATTCCAGGTATTTGGGAAGTGTAACGTTAGCAGTAAACTTACGACAGCTCGGACCCCGTACTGTTTTTCCACTTTGTCTTTCAGCTGCCTGAAGCAGGCCTCCATCCGCTCGTGGAACGGCCGCAGTGCCTCCGTCACCTTCTCCCCGTGAATCCGGATGCCTTCCGCCAGGAACGGGATCTGGAAAGAAGATTTACGTTGCCGCGGTCTGCCGAGTCCTTTTTACTCCTACACGTGTTGTAAGAGGAGTGAAAGATCTCATGCAATAATAATAATAATAACAACAACAATTATCACCATCATGATTCATTGCATATGAAGGACAACATAGAAAAAAAGATCGAAAAATCTGTAATATGATTTCCTTTCTTCTCTGTTAACCAAAGCCCTTGAAAATGAATACACCCATAGTTCTGCCCAGGAATCACTTCCTGGAGGCACAGCTGAATTTATCAGATAACACAAATATTCCTGTGATGTTATATTCACAGGCCCCCATACACGCTGTACTTCAAAATGGCAAACTGATGAATGACAAGTCTCACACCAGGTTATTAATATCAGTCCTTTCCCAGTCTCATAAGAATAAAACCTTGAAGGAGGAAATATTTGTAAGTTTAATAAACGCTGTTTCTAAAACTGCAAATAAGCTACATCCTTGGACACGTACATATTGCAGAGCAATATTTATTAATAAAACATCCAGTTTTATATACTATACATTTATCCTTAGAAAACTTATTTTCTTGTCTTTGGGACCATACTGGAAAAAAATTAAATTAATCCTCTTTTGTAACCGAAAATAATCATTTATCTTCAAGGCTTCTGTCACAGAATATCCATGCCAACACAGGATTATACAATTAGTTCATAGTGTGGAGGTGTAGCTGACCTTTTAAAATGTTTTAAGAGAGACATTTTCATTCCCAGAGCTATCCAGACATACCATTAGAGTTTTCTACCTCCAGCTTAGGAAAAATATTTCCTCTTCCAGCTCTGTTTCAGCCCACACAGTGCTCTGAGTCTAACTTAGATATTCTCTGCAGCAATCAAGCTGAGAGCCTTCTTCTTAATAATTCATAATTAAATCATAATACTGATTAAACCCAGATTTTTCTAATAAGACTAAGTAGCAATCAGAAGGAGTAGCTTTATTAGTAATGAAAATAATAAATATACAGCTGAATTACAGATGAACAAACTCAAGAATCTTATCAAGATGATTCTCTGTGATTTGGCACTATTTAAACAGTCACAGTTTCTTCTCCTAAAAGACTATAAAGAGAACTTAGAGTAATGACAAAATGTTTTACTGTAGCCTCTTCTATTTATAGCCACACGGATCTGCACTCTGCAAAAATGAAACACGGAAATCAGAAAACTTCCCTGCTCTGAGCAAGTAAATGAATTTCCAAATTTTTGTCATTATCAGGCCACACTGTGACCCTCCTTTCTTTGCAGGAATAAGTGGTCACTTGGCTCATTTATTTAAAAGAACCTGCTGACTTTTAAAAGGGATTCTTGTAAAAAAAAAAAAAAAATTGAATTACCAGGATGAAGTATGGATGGGGCCTGAATCTTCAGCTCTGAGATAATTTTTACAAGCAGAAAAAGCACTAATGAGCCTGTCCTAGGGATCAGCCATCTCCGATTTATAAAATCAAGCAATATGAAGTAAATGATAT